AAGGCCATTGTTGAGCAGGTGAGCATGTCAGAGTGTTGGATGTCCTTCTACCATTTTGGAACCCTGGAGGCATAGTGTTTATACTTTGGGCTGTTACTGAGAGGTCTGCAGTTCGGAACCACCATTTCCTTGGGAGAAAGAAGTGGCTTTCAACTCCTGTAGTGAGGTCCAGTCTTGGATACCTGCAAGGGCAATTTTACCTATACGGTCGTTATGAGTCAGAATCAACTCAATGCCAGTGAGTATTAGTAGTAATAATAGTTCTACAGTTTGCTAGTGACTTTTCACCTCCCTGATAGACCCAGGCTAAGGTTGTTGGTTGCTTCTCTGATGGTGGCTTGGAGGGCAGGTCTATATCAGTAAGTGTTCCAACATTTGTTGCATTTTTTATCTCAACGCTAAAGAGCCTCAGGCTAATTCCTTTTCTTTTACTGAATTCCCGTCCTGTGTGTGCTGAAAAGAGGGAAATGTGAACTAAAGTCTTCCTGAAATATGATAACCACCCCCTCCTCTTTTTAAACTACATCAATAAAATGAATAAAGAGCAGTATTTATAAACCTTGGAGTCTTTTAGAAGCATTTGGATGGTAGGCAACTTATCATTCTCCAGCAAAATACCTTATTTCATATCAGTTACTTTGAATCATATTCAGACTTTGATTTGACCCAAAGATTAAAGACTATTGTAGACAACTTCCCTTATTGAGGTTCACAAACATCTCAGGATGGAGTGGAAAGTTCTTTTTAAAATTTGATTTCTTTGCATGTTTGATATTATTGAAAAATCTTACTTATCATTTGGTAAGGTGACAGGAGCTCATTTCTTTGTCCTTTCTGTATCTAGAGAGGAACCTAGATAGCATATGCCTTTGAAAATAAGATTAAGTGCTTTGAAAAGAGTCAAAAAGTGAATAAAGTATAATCATATTTCTGTTTTAGAATTTCCCCTAATTTGTGGTTAAAAAACTATCATTGGCATGGATACTATAAATTAAGATAATATTTACGACTTCTACATATTTTAAAATTACAGTTAAAAATAAACGTGTTAAAGTTTATTAAAATATAGATCTATTTAAAGGAAACGGGGCAAATAATTGGATATTCAAAGTGCATCAAACTCTGATACCAAACAAAAACCAAACCCACTGCCTCCCAGTCCTTTCCAAATCATAATGACCCTCTAGGACACAGTAGAACTCCCTCGAAGGGTTCCTGAGCCCGTAAATCATTACTGGATCCGTGGCCTCATTTCTCTCCTGTGGAGCAGCTGGTGGGTTTGAACTGCATTCCAGCTTAGTCCTTGGCACCACCAGGGTTCCTTGCAAACGCTGAGAGCTAATATTAGATAGGGTTGCTATGAGCTGGAGTCAGGGTTCTATCAATGAGTTAGTGAGCCTGAGAATGCCAATGCAGCGCCATCTGCAGGTCCGTGTGTGCACCTGCCTTATGTTACCAGTATCTAGCTGGCTTGTTCCTCCTGGGCATCAGGGCCCGACCTAGGATATGGGGAGTGTTTAATCAAGTCCTCTTGGTTAATAAATGACTTAGGTGTGGCATTGATTGAAAACTCTGAAATCGGGGCTGATGTTGTGTACATTGTCCTTTCTGGAAGGAAGGTCACCTCCTAGCACGGTCAACCTTAGTTTCTTGCAGAGCAGTTCTTTAAATGCTTGTTTTACATACCAAACATTGATTATGTGACTCAAAGTCCATCTCCAGTTACCTTTATGGATCTGTGAAAGTGCCCTCTTTTCTGGAGCTGCTGTTGGATTTAGTCCAGGGATGACCTTCTAGCTAGAAATTCTCTTTCCAAAATAGAGGAAAGAACTAGGAGG